TGAAATTTTACAATAATCTTGCGCCACCCTTGCACAAAACGACGATCATTTTTCTAATTTCATAGATAATAGAAGACTGTATTTTTTCTACATGACCCCCCCCCTTACTTTAAAGCTGGATCCGCCCCTGCTTTCAACCGTAACCAGATGAAGAGCTCTCGATGGCGATAAAAACATTATGTTAATAAGCTGCAATGCGTGCAGAAGGAAATTGATATATTGGAAATATATATATGGATAATAAAATAGTGTTAACTTAGTGAAAGTAGTCGCAATAAAAAACGGAAATCATGAAATTTCAATGCCAAATGGTTTGTTTTTCGATATTCCGAAATCTGTTAGTGAAATTATATGAAGAGTTGGTATCGGAAACCACATTGATCGTGAAAGTTTTTTTTAATTTCCTATTGTAGTAAAAATCTGCTTAATGTTTTTATTTTAAATAATTCGGCGCACCAAAGCTATGCAGTAAATGGAAGGCGTGATGATTAAGCAGTTGCAAATATTTATATGCAAGTGTACATTTAATGACTCTGAATGAAGGAAAAAGTATAAAAAAAAACAATTTATTTAATCCACTTTCACCTATAAATCTTGGGTTTTGTGGGAATAAATAAACTGATTTTGGAAAATGCTCGTTTTGTTCGATTCTGGAGCAGGCAAACATAAAACTTCTGCGAACTTCACAATCTACACTTTCCTAAACTGTCCATATTTTTTGCAAATCATTTGCAGCGGCATAACAAATATTGGAAATTTCTATTAAATAATAGGTACCCCCAATTGACAAATGTTACAAACGGAGCAACAACTAACATAAAAATGCGCTATTAGACCATTGTTAGCAACAATGGTTTGACATCATCCTACACCGCAATAAAAAGACATTCTAGACGAAAGCGATGATGATTAAAGTCAGCTCACGAAGAGCTCGAAAAATGCGTTACAATGGGAGGACGCGCACTTATTCGAAAAATGATGAGCTATAGCCTTAATGGTACACATTAACACTATCACTCAGCATTGTTTCAGAATCTCTTGGTATTCAGGAAGGATCGAGCGTTGTGCGAATATTTATTGGGTTATTGTGCTATACGCGACAAAACTTTCTCGTCACCTGGTCGTGATGCAAAACAATAGTATTTTCAAAAAATTCGAAACATGCCAAATATGTAGTTGAAATTTATCCATGGGCCTCAGCTGGGACTATTGCGCTACCAATTTTCCAAGCAAACAATTCCGTTATACGTGCGTATGGAATGCATACAATGCTGGCAATTCAGCGATTGGTAATTTTCCAAAGATAATATTGAATTCGATCCTGCTCAATTGTCTTCTATGTTATCCTTAATTAACAGACTTCCTATGTAAATAGTTCAACATATCCGAATTCTAATATTCTTCTGATGGAAACTAGTATATTTAACGTTGCTAAAAAATATAAATAAGTGTCTGGTACCTATATGTGAACAATAGAGCAACACTTTTAATTCTAATAAGTGAAACCCCAACTCGCAAATTTTATACCAAGCCAGTGGAACCGAACTCATTTGGCGCGATCTCTAAATAATCAGCATTATGTGGATGATAATTGTGGCGCTTTAATTAGTGCCGTAAACGCATAAAATCATTAACACAATATTAATTATCAAGCTCACGGAGATGACGCTCTTTTTAACCCATAATCGCCGATTTCACTTTGAAAAGATCACCGCAAACTCACTGCTGGCGTTTTAACAGATGCAGAACATTAAAAACACATTTAGAATGTTCAATATGAATTTCTTTAAAAAGCATATACATATTCTTTAAATTGCGCAGTGTTTTAGAACCGAACTAAGTTTTACATTAAAATTGACTTGGTTTATTGAAATATCTTCCATGTATCAGTTGATGTAATAGTTCGGCAATTATTCGAAATAAAACTGAAAATAATCCAACAATGATTGTTGACAACGATGTAATACTAACAGCAACAGAAAATTTAAAAAGACCGTCCTCACTTGATTGTGAGAATTTTTGATTAGTGAGGAGCATTTTTTTACATTTCTTGTTGACTGCTTGTGTGCTGACTGTTTTTCATTTGAAGTGGTTTTTTTTCCAAAAAAATTGCTAACATTTCTCTCTCCAAAAAACGCATTTTATTTTTTGATGTGCTGTTGAACTTGAAATTCGAATTTTAAGCGAAAAAAACTTGGGATATTAAAAGCGTATTTATACGATTGATTTGATGAAAAATCCAGCGTTTATTACATGCATCTGGAAAACAATTGATCGGCTTAGACACATGCTGTTGGCAAAGCATTAGCTGGATAAATTTAGAGAGTTTTTATAGTTTTTTAGAATACACTGTTTGATACAGTTTTAAAACTTCTTGTTTTGCTGGCTCATTTCCAATTTTCAACCTGCATGTAGGAGACAACATAGACATTAGACCCTATTTATCCTGCATTTAAACCCATTAATATTCGGTCCCCGCAAATTTTTTTGTATGGCAGCCACTCATTTAAATGTGAGTGCAAATTGCTGCCACTGAGCGGATATGGTGTATCATATGACCACGTCATGACACTGTTTCCCATATTAAATTTGATTGCATTGTCTGTGCACAACTTCGAATTGAGAAATATTTGGCTCACTGTATTGTCTTTCTCAATACATTTTATACTGAACAATGGGGGCGAAAATAAAATGAAAAGTCCTCCTATGGTAAGTTATTAAATCAGAGCAAAAGTTCAAAATACTAAAGTAAGTATTAGCATACAATGCAATTCCAAGACCTAGAAAGTAATCCCGCAGGTATTAACTGCCAAAATTATAAGCATATTGATAATAACGCTAAGCATAGCAGGCATAATAGTGAGGTAAGCGCTAAATAAATTTGATCACTTTCGCCAGTAAAATGATGTAAAGTTTTTCTGCAAATAATTCCGGGAAACACTTTTTCGATTTGAATTTTACATCCAAAAATAATCGCATCACATTCAATATTCGCCCCTAAACGCGACATCATGGTTAAAATCGCCCACATAAATAAAGAAGACTCAAGACAAAATAATAAACGTATAATTCCTCATTATTTACCCATAGCAGATTGTATCGTTTACTTAGGGCGAGCTTTTGAACCTTGTAGGTTTAGGATATCTACGAAAAGCCAAGCAGTTTACAATTATCGTCTTATTTACTTATTTATCGTTATCTGCGACTTCCCGACAAATCAATTATTTGCTGTCATAACAATCGGACCTTCAGGCAACTAATTATTGATAAATTTCGTTTTTAGTGCCATCAATAAAGCATTTTATAGCTGCTAACATTGATTATTCCCCATCATATGCGTTGATATACGTTGTAATGGGCAATATTTCATTCAATTTTCACAAACCGTTAAACTAAATTCCATTTTCTCCGTCGAACTACATTAGAATTAACGTCGCAATAAACAAGTATTGCACAAAAATCAAATATTATCAGGATATTTCCAATTAGGCATGCACGGGTAGCATTCGATAGATTTCAGTAAATAGCTCAATTTCCTTTCTGTGTCAACAATGTGTTTTTTGGCAAATAAAATCTCGAATCGCCAAAAATCATCTAAAAAATTCCATGGATTCAAAACCTACACTTTTGAAGGTAATTGGATAGCATAATGATGCTTTTTTTGGATATGAGTACTCGATTTTATGAACCACTGTAGCAGAGATAAAATAAATTTTTCATGATTCATTCAGCAGTGAAAAGCAGCGTTAAGTACAGCATCGGCAATGTCATAAAAATTCGAGGAAAAGTATTAAAAATGTCATTCCTGAGAAGATAATCAATAGAAAACCGAATATTGAATTAAAGATATATAAAGAAAAAACTACCAGAGAAATAGAAAGTTTTATAAATCAAGAAATTACAACAGCAAAAGAGAATCGGTTATAAAATAAAATAGGTGAAACCAAGATGTAGAGTTGCAACTTAAAAAAATTGCAAAGATCACCATAACAACTTTACCTTTTTTTTAACTAGAGAAGAGCAAATAGATAACTTAATTTACCTATTTCCTCTTCAATGTGTTTATAAAAAAACACGTTTTATCATATATTTCGATAAAATCTGCATAGCACTTTCTTCCACTAAAGGAGTCAAAGTAAAGTGTTTGAAAAGCACTGGAATCAAACACTGGCTGACTGAGAAACCGGGAAAACTTATCAACCATTAAACGAGTTCAACATTGAATCGAACGAAACTTATTTCGTTAATTGAATTGTATATTAGTTCCATTCAGTTGTAATTGAGTCGATAACGAAACAGTGTTATGCATCTCAAACTGATCAGAAGCTAATTTAATTGATAACTAGTTGTGTTCGGATTAATGCTTTAATTGAACACTGGGGTGGAATTAACGCAGCAAATCAGTGCAGTTCGCCATTTGTAACCGTAAAGGAGAAGCAAATCTATGTGAACTTGTTCATCGTTGACTCATGTATTTTTCGAATATCCTGCATCTAAATATTCAAATAAAACTGTGACTACAAAAAGAAGAAATTTCAAAACATATTACAAAAGACAGATTAAATTCGGGGTAAAATATTTTTTCGCTGTATTAAATGCATGTATTAGAAGTTTTCTTTTGCAAGCGCATCTATTGCCACCTTATTCTTAATTATTTAAACATTTGGAAACTCGGTAGTTCCTACACTTTTATCAATTTACTCTCTTTAAGTCTTTTTTTGTCCTGCTTTAGTCGACGCCCATGTATATGAAGGTTTGCCAGTTTTATCAAAACTGAATCGAAACACGCCGGTAATCTTCAATCAAACAGTATATTCCTGAAAGTGATTGGGGACATCCATTGCATTTTTGAAAATTTTCGATGTTCCTCTTTTTAGCATTTCGACATTTTAAACGCGCACAATTCTACAAAACGTCTTCAAAACACAAACACAGATAAACACTCCAAACAGGCTCAATGTTTACATTGGGCAAACATTCAAACAAATCGAAAAATTTACCCAGTATTCTCGTTGGTCACCAACTGCTCCAACATTTGTATCTTTAGCATGGTGTCAACAAAGATTAATCCTCAGCTAATCCACCAAAAAACGGAAAAGAAAAAACAAATCACATGACACAATTTCAAAAAAATTCCCCCGTACGACCTAAATGCGTTTTAGGCTAATTGAAACCGACTGGCCAGACAAGTCGAAAGGTTTCCGATGTGCACGCCAACAAACAATTAATCAAAAAATCACCGGGATATCTTGGAAAAAAAATCAAAACATTGCGGACGAGCGAAGCTCGAAATACCGGTCGATTTTCAAACAAATGAACAACCGCCCACGATCGCAGCCAATCGACTGCGAGCTCTGCTCAGCTCAGCTGGCTGCGATAGTCGTCGCATGGTCCGCGAGATCTACAAGTTGTGAAGCTACACAGTGGGATCAATTTTGTTAAAAATACCGAACTTTTAATATTCAATAATAATACAAAGCGAAAACAAGTTAGTCAACATTTAGTAACAATGACAATTTTTTAAAAATTGTATGTTGTAATTTTAATTTTCAACATTTACTCAAGATGTTTTGTGTTTATTATGTTTTTCCTGTAAATTGTTCTAATACTTCTACAGGAAAATACGGATATTTCATAAAATGAAGCAGAAGAAAGAAGCCTGTCTTGCCATAAAAATTTACAGCGAAAAACAATTTACACTGCCAATACGTTGAAAAGGTGGATTTGATTCATAGCTCCGCCCGATTTCACCCAAACTGCACATGAAACGATTCAAAATCAATCGATTGGAAAAGGAGGAGCCTTGGTCGGGCCTCCACGATCACCTGATGTAAACAACCTAGACTTTTTGGGCTGTCGATCGACCTTAACTACGCATCCAATCAAAATACTGCTACATTCTTCTCTTATCTCACAGATGTGACTGGACAATTTACACAAGGGACAAAAATTAGTATAACAAATGTTAAACCAAGCAAGCACTAAGGACACATTAATATCTTACTCGTCTGGTTAAGTCTCTTATTTATGCTGCAAAACTTGGGCTGATTTTTTCTATACGATAAGTTTTTCGGCCTTTAGCAAAAGCCAGGGTGTCCCTTTAAAAAAATCAACAAAGTTTGATATGCCACGAATTTTGCGAAACATCTTGTGTAACGGAAACAATTTCAATGGATGGCCACCATTAATTGCATAAAAAATCACGGCAAAATTACACTCGTTAGCGATAATCTTCCACTCCGTCTTGTTTTGCTTGTTTTCGTAGCAAATTATTCAAAAAAAAACATTGTCTTCAATCGTTTCATGTGCTTCACCTGAATTTAATCGAAGTAAAATAAGAGAAAAATAGAACAGGAGGCCTCAATTTAAACAAAAGCTGAATAGATAAATTACAAATATGTCTATTCAATTTATTGCTGATTCCGGGCAAAATTCAACCAAAACGCGAAAAAAGTCCTATTGAAAATATAGTGAAAATATAAAATACAATGAAAGTACAAGTATTTGTGATTTTAGGAACTTTGAAAAAAAGAAATATTTCATTTTTTAGATTAAGACTGATAAAATGCAATTCTTGTTAAGAAACTCTGCACTCTGCTATTCATGTCGGAATCATATCCCGATTCTTATCGATAGTTTAAGTAACATTCACTTCTAGTTGTTCGTTCTTTTCCTTAAGTTTACTCACATCAACGGCTTATAAACGTATTTAGTCTTTTTATTTGAACGGAACCTTTCATATGAAGAAAACTTATAGCTACGATAATCAGAAACAATCTCAAACTAAGCCTTTGAATAAAAGTTAAAATGTAAATAGAATAATATTACAAACTATTTTTGTCTAAATTTTATTCAACAAACCACTGTCTGATGTTTAGCAGGAAAGCAGTGGATCTTCTCAGCAGGTGTATAAATATTAGACAGAGACCCAGATATGCAGGTGACATGGCGCAAAGTGGGATGGATGGTAGTAAAAAAATGAGTCAGAAAGAAGCACTCCAGAAATTAGATTTGTAGGGCATCAGTAAGTTATCTGGAGAGGAGCTAATCCGAGCACTCCCGATTAAAACTGCTAGAGCTTCTGCATTTCCTAATGACCTTATTTCGAATGTACATAAATATTCCTCAATTTCATGCAGTTTGGAGAGTTTGGTCTTTGGCAATTGCATTTTTAATTATCCTCGAAACTGATCCAGTTTAAAAATGACAATTTATTCCATTTGGTTTAATGAATTGTGCACTTTGCATAAATCGATATCAGTATATTTTGCAATTTAATTATTTAAAATAAAACTGTGACTATTCAAATTTTAAATAAAAACCGTCGAAAACCAACCACATGAAATGCATAAACATTCCTCATATAAAACGCTACTAATAACATGAAAATTAGAAATTCCTCCCGCTCAACCTGTTCACCTTTTAATATTGTGTATTACAATATACACTGCAGCATGCCATAATTCAGCTGCCACACTAAAATATTAGATTTATCTTGACATCTATCCTCATCCTGGTGCCATAAATCAGGAGAAGCCCCACAAAGGGGCCAGCGCTCTCATTTAGGTTAAGTGTCGGAGCTTTAGGAATTAAAGGCTTCGCTGCTGCTCAACCTCTGTGCTAATAGAATTGCAGCCACTTTTGTTAAATACTTGCTGAATTCATTTGGCAACGTGGGCAGAAAATGCTCAATTTGCATTGACACTAATGTAAGGTTTTCGCAAATAGTTCTCTGCTTCATCCTATAATTTAAGACGGCCTATCATTAACTTACAACAAAAGTTTCCTACTGAACTTGTGCGTTCTTTGTTTTGCCCTTGATATGGCAGGATAATTGATTGATGAACAGATCGATTTTCACTACCGATTAAGCGCTGTTGCCGTATTAATTATTTAGTTTTATGCAAATACAGTTGAGTCCGGATACAACGAACTTGAAAAATTTACTAAAACTGGTTCGTTATATCCTGAGTTTGCTATAAGCCAATAATAATACAGAAACACGTGGTGTATTTTATTTTGTTATTTTTACATAGAGTAGTAGAAGTTAGTAGGTATGACTAAAAAGAACACAAAAAGATAAAAAAAATTGAATTTGAAATCTACTTCATAAAGTCTGTAATTTTTGTTTGTACATTTCTGCTGCAAAAATAGATGTTATTTATGTAGTTTTCAAGATC